AACGTCTCTTTATATGCGCTCCATACGTATTCGTACCGCGTTGGGAGCACAAGATACCGTTCAATGAATACAGTCCAGTACGCATCATTATCGTACTAGTTATTATAAGAGCTTTTTACAATAATGTTATAATAATAATAATGATGATAATAATAATAATAATAATAATAATAACAACAGTAATAGTAACAGTGACCTTGTTCAGCTTCCGAAACCAGTTAAATGTTTTTGATAATATATACAAAAATGTACCTCGGGCAATTAAAATCAAAGTGTGAATAAAGAAATTGATATCTTTGTAAATATTTCATTTTTCATTTGGTAATTATTTTAAATAGGGGAGGCAGCACCGATGATCTTGATCTTGACATATGTTATCAAGGTCATGACCCTAACCTCCAACAGATTTTAGCCGTCGCTCGTCCTTCGTTAAAATGTTATAAACAAAAATTAATCAGTGTTGGAACGTATCTAGGTAAAAGTATCTAGATACGGTATCTAGATACTTTAGCTGTACCTAAGTGCATTACCTAGATCCTTATAGACGGAGATACCTGTATCCGTATCTAGTTATTTTTCAATACGGTATCTTTTAAGTTTTAGATACATAGTTACAGGTATTATACACTGTCGCCATTATTAATATTGTACATAGCTATTTCTCACGTACAAAGTTATGTTTTATAGGCTCTATGCTTTTGAAGATGTTAGAGGGATCTCTATGTTTTTTAAATACGTTTGAAACATTTCTTTATATCCAAGTGGTATTGACAATGCCTAATTTGAGTCAAATACTGGGTGTAGTCGTGTAGAATATGTCAACTTTATTGTTGCAATTAAATACAATTCTCAAACGTTTCGATCCCGCTTCGGATCTTTATCAATGATTTGCATGTTCCGATTACCACATTTCAACTATCTAATTGTGAACATACTAACATCATTAGCTCCGATTAATCATTGTATTAGGAAACATTTTGATAATCGGAACATGCAAATTATTGATGAGGATCCGAAGCGGGATTGAAACGTTTGAGAATTGTATTTAATTGCAACAATAAAGCTGACATATAATACACGACTACACTCACAAGGAGAGCCTACGCTCTGCTCTTCACCGATTTTGATCAAACTTGCAGCGATGTTAGAAGAGCCTATCAAATGAACACCTGTAAAGCCGTTCGCTCCATTGGGCCTTAGAAGCCGAGTAATGATCATTTAAAAATATACCAAAAATCTGGAAAACGGTCTAATATCTCGGAAAGTATGCATTTTTGAGAAAAATGTCTTAAACAAAACTGATAAGGTTTATTCAGATGTATATACTAGTCTTATAGGTTTGACCTTGAGCGGCACCGTGACCTTGACTTGACCTTGACGGTGACCCCGCAGGGGGGCGGAACCTACTATATCTACGCATGTTATTTCTTTTAATTAAAATAAGAAGTCAAAATATATACAAATGAATACGTTTAATTAACATTTCCATTATATCCTTTTCTAGGGGGGAGAAAGTGGGCTGAGAGTTGTGTTTCGCGTGAAAGTTGTACATCTCTTAAGCAGTGAGACGTGTGGAATAGCACATAATATCATATATACATTGTATATAGCAAAGGTTAATTTTAAAACTTTTGTTGTTCATAACTTTTTAACGAAGGATGAGCGACGGCTAAAACCTGTTGGAGGTTACTTAGGGTCATGACCTTGATAACATATGTCAAGGTCATCGGTGCTGCCTCCTCTATTCTAAATAATTACCTTATTATTATTATTATTATTATTATTATTATTAGATATTATTATTATCATCATTATTATTATTATAACATTATTGTAAAAAGCTCTTATAATAACTAGTACGATAATGATGCGTATTGGACTGTATTCATTGAACGGTATCTTGTGCTTCCAACGCGGTACGAATACGTATGGAGCGCATATAAAGAGACGTTTTTGTTCATATCTAAAAAATGGATTTTCGGAACGTGATTTAAATACACATCGTTGTTTTCAGCGTAAAATTCTCTTTAATTTTCGTCATATCAAGAATTAAAAAATTTTTGAAAATTAGAGTGGAGGGTGGGGGTATACAATAAATAAATGTAAAAAAAATTTTTTTATTATAGTTGTAAAGTACTCTTGCAACCATTCAATTTTTATTCTAAAAAATTTTTTCTATCTCTTATAGTTTCGAAGATATTCGTTTCGAAAGAAAAAAACCGATTTTCTTCAAGGGAGGATTTCACCCCCTTAACATGCGACTCCGCACGTATAAAAAAATACGTGTCTCTTATTTTTGTCTATAGAACAACATACTAAAAGCTCATTTAAATCGGAGAGATCCACTTGGTTGTGTTCCCTTGTCAGATATTAATATTTTTTTATAAGAAGGTTCGATATCTAAAATTTCAACGTTATCCCATTTAAAATTATGATTTAATTTTATTCTATGTTTAGTTATTACAGAAGGGGATTTTGATGCTTTGTTAATATCTGAAACATGTTCTTTTAGTCTAGTTTTTAATTGTCTTTTAGTTTGTCCAACATAACTAGATCACAATTGCCACAGGATATCTTATATACTACATTTTGATTGCGTTTATATTCTAAATTATCTTTGCCTCTTTTGATGCAACTATTTAGTGTGTTCGGAATAGTATATGCTAATTTGCACTGGAACATATTAGCAATAGGTTTGAATTTTTCAGACACATTGTTAAACATAAGGAACAGTAAAAAATTTTTTTGAAGTATTGTTTTTATTAGAAATATTATTGATATGGAATTTAATTCTATTGTGAATCGTAGAAAAAATGAAGTATAGAGAATATCCGTTTTGTAAAAATACATTAATAGCTTCAATTAAATTGTTCTGCTGGAACGTTGGATGACATAATTTTAATATTTTGTCGACAACACTGTATATTACACCTCTTTTATGACACATGGGGTGATGTGAATGGAAGTTGAGAAATCTGCCTGAAAAGGTGGCTTTACGATAGCAGTCAAAAATCAAACCACCTTCTTTCACAATGATCATAGTATCTAAAAGACTTATTTTTCCTTCATTGCACACTTCTATAGTGAATTTTAATCTGTTATGTAATAGTACATTGTGTAACGCGTGGGGGCTAGTGTTATGGCGCGAAGGGCGCGAAAGCACAAGCGAAGCGAGTGCGTTATTCGCGCCCGTCCCGCGCTATATACACTATACCCCCACTAATTACTCATAATATTTTATGTCACGCGGTTCGCGTGACATAAAGAATTAAAAATATCTAAAGTATCATTAATGCTCTCAGATGGAACTACCAAAATAATATCATCTACATAACGATAATAAAATAACGGATGGAAAGGTAATAATCCAATTGCAATTTCCTCAAAATCTTGCATAACAATATTAGTAACAACCGGTAATAGTGGAGATCCCATAGGTGTACCAAATATTTGTTTATAATATTTATCGTTAAACATGAAGAAAGTAGAATTAAGTATTAATTTGAAAGCAATCATAAATTCTTCGAGTGAAATTTTTGTGTTTTTTGATATTAGATCCCATCTTCTGACAACACTATCAGTTGCCAAATCTAAAGGTATATTAGTAAAAAGGGAAACCACATCAAGTGAAGAATTAGATTCTAGTTTAACATTTTTTATTTTATTAATCAAATCAATACTATTTTTAATAAAACTTGGTGCTTGTCCTATGGAATTATTAATAATATTGTGTAAATACAATGATAAATAATATAACGGACTATTTATCGAAGAAACAATAATCCTCATAGGATAGTTAACCTTATGGATCTTAGTCAACCCATATGCTCTTGGAATATTCCCATCAGTGATGAGTAACTTTTTGTAGATAATTCCATCAATAAAACTTTTATTTTTTCATCTGACTAAAATATTTTTTAAGTCAGTGGTAAGTTTTTTTGTAGGATCTTTTTTTTATCATTTCATATGTATTAACATCTGAGAGCATTAACTCAACTTTATTAATCATCTCTATTAAGAACAACTGTAACGTTGCCCTTGTCTGCCTTGGAAACAAATTTTTCAAAATAATCTTTAGAAATCTGTAGATTTTATCCAATTAAAAATCTTTTTTTTAATATAATTTTCGCGTGAATTTATATACTATGTATGTAGATTCCTAAATGCGCGCCGAAATTTTTTCAGATTTACAACGCAAACTAATGAACTACCGCGGTACTATCACGAGTTAAATTAACAATTTTTGATGCTCATTGCATCTTAATATATGTTGAATGACATCTTAAAATCTATGAATGACATATTAAAAATCTGTAAGTAATTTAAATATATTGCGAAAAATATTACCAGAAATACAAATATTACCGAGGCCCCAGTAGTCTAATTGGCATTTGCACGTAAAACAAGCGATCTGGGTTCGACTCCCGGCCGAGGTAATATTTTTCGCAATATATTTAAATTATTTACAGATTTTTAATATGTTATTCATAGATTTTAAGATGTCATTCAATATGTTATTAAGATCCAAAGATGCAATGAGCATGAAATCTGTTAATTTAACTCGTGATAGTACTGCGGTAGTTCATTAGGTTGCGTTGTAAGTTTGAAAAAATTTTGGCGCGCATTTAGATATCTACATACATAGACCCGTATTCAGAACGCGCTAACAACGATGTTAGCGCGCTAACATGCTATAGTTTACGTCACGTATACTACAGAATTTCAGAGATAAAAGCGCGCTTTTATCGATAAAAGTGCGTTCTGAATACGGACCATAGTACATAAATTCACGCGAAAATTATATTTAAAAAAAAAAGCATTCAAGCTCCAGCTTGACCATAAATGGCTTATTCTCGTCGGTATTAGCTTTAAAAAAATTTAATTCACATATATTTATAATTTCGTATTTAACAATTCATAACATTTAAAAAAGACATTACGCTATTGTACAATAATGATATATATGTCTTCCCTAAATACGCTATCCACGTCTGACTTACCCATCTTTGCTGGTATCAACAATACCAGCAAGTAAATTAACAGAATTGGGATTATAATCGGCATCGGTGTAAAGGCCAAGATAACTGCGTACAAAGTCAGACGCAGTCATGAACCTCTCGCCATTCTTCTCCTGTGAGGCGTACTGCAATTTCACAAACATGCAACGTTTCAGTACATGTATATTTGCATATTTATAGATTACTGATCTTATGAACTCATAATAGTTAAAAAATAGGTCATTATAAATAATTACGCGCGTGCGCAAAAAGCTATTTCTATACAGTAGATACTTTTAAGAAAAATCCAAAAAAAATAAAAATATTATAAAACAAATTATATTGGGAGTACAAATTAGTTCGGTCCGTTTTTCAAAAGATGATCGCCTCCAAAGACGAGTCATTTTTTCGAGATGGAATTCGAAAATTGCCTGAGAGATGGAAAAAAGTAGTAGCCAGCGATGGACAATATTGTGGCGGTCAATTTGACACCACATATAATATTCGCGCGCTTGCAAAACTTCACACCATTGCAATTGTAAGTCTGAAAAAATTTCGGCGCGCATTTAGATATCTACATACGTAGTACATAAATTCACGCGAAAATTATATCGTATTTAAAAAAAAAAGCATTCAAGATCCAGCTTGACCATAAATGGTTTATATACGTCGGTATTAGTTTTAAAAAAATTTAATTCACATATATTCATAATTTCGTATTTAACAATTCATAACATTTAAAAAAGACATTACGCTATTGTACAATAATGATATATGTGTCTTCCCTAACTTCCCTATCTTTTCGCGATCAACTTGAAGTAATTTGCATAAATTAATTTTTCTATTAATCAATAGGCGGCGGATAAAAACAAATTTTCCCGAATTTCGAAAATGTCCTGGCCGGTTATAAAAGAGTATGCAGAACGGCTCGAGGTCACTCTTGCGACTTCGGCAAGAGCTTACCGTTTTTTGTGGAAATCGTGGATCCCTTCGCGAAACGAACAAGGATCGTCCCCTGGTGGAAGAGATCCTCGAGGGAGAGCTTCTCAGCGACAAATCCTGGCGACCGACTGCAGCTGGATTCTATAGAGATTCTCGAGACCTTCGAGACGACTCACCAGCGAGCAGAGCAACGGAGAGCCGAACAGCAGAGCAGCAAGGAGCAGCACCTGCACCGAGGAACCTGGTAGCCGAGCAACGAGGAACAACATCCCCTCCATGGTATAAAGACAAGGGTATGCTCACGCGCATGATAGTTCCAGACAACCAATCAGAAATGTCACTCAGTCTACGTCACATTAAGCGGCAAATTCAAAATGCATTTGCTTAGTACTTCTACATACAGTATTGAATTACGGTATTTTCTAATAAGATTGACTTTAAAAACGTGATTTCTCGCCGCTAAATTCAAATAATTTATTCTAATCGTATCACAAATAATTTCAAAAAATAAAAAAGAAGTCATCTTCCATTATATAAATTGTGAAATAATTTATATAAAGGAAGGTGATTTTACACTTTTAGTAACAATTAATACTTTTCTTGAAAAGCAATTCACATTATTTATTGTAGAAATACGCAATTAGCAAAAAACTTTCATTGTGCTCTCTTTACAAAAAAAATATATACATATAATGATCATTTAAGATTCTTTTGTAACTTATTTTTGAGGAATGGACGATGAAATGAATAAAAAAACAATTGCAGGTATATGTGTATATATAATAACTAATATGTAATATAATAAGTATAACGTGTATATATAATATAAGTAATGACTATATTTATTAAGAAATTTTGATAATCATTACATTTGAAGAAGGCTCAATCAAGGAGCCGAAACATGTCATGTATGCATACGAAATTTAATTAAATTCAAAATTTTTATATACAGGAAAATTTAATTTGTAATGTTTCGTTGACTCTCAGAGTTGCCCTTATTATTATCCTCTATTGTTTCAGCATAAATACATAAATAAATAAGGTGCCCAGTGAACATGAATGTCTAACAGACAATCCGAAAGACGTCTTAAAAAAGACGATTTTAAGACGTTTACAAAAAGACATCTTTAAGATAACTTTTAGCCAAGTCCTAAAGACAATTCTTTTTAAGACGTCTTTT